AATGCCGACGGCTAGCTTTGCTCTGGGGTTTAGTGGCTCTGTTAGTGCCAGCACTGAAGAGTCTGCCCCTTGACATCCCTCTGAAATACTAGATTAATTTTATCAAGAGAAAAATAGAAGCAGGGAAGCTATTATCTGTCCATGGTCATGTAGGAGACTTGTATAAACCAGAGTCTTCAGATCCTCCTTTTCCTAGCAAGCGCTGGGAGAGTGGTTACATGCTGACAGCTCCCCCAGCGCACGCCTCTGGCCCTCACAATTGACACCTTTCTCTGGGACCTTGCCCTTCTTTGTAGGGTGTCCAGGCAGAGGAGATCTCTACAGTGCTGTCCCGCGTGCCCCAGGCAGAGAAATTTGCCAAGTTCTGGATCTGCAAAGCAAAACTCCTCGCCCAGAGTGGCCCTTTTGACGTGATGGGTTTGTACAAAGCAGCGGTCTGCGCTGGTGCTGTGGTGAGATGCACTTCTGTTCGGTGGCTCCCTGTGTTCCCTGCCTCTGTGTGCCAGCAGGTTGAGATCCAGGGGTCAGATTTTGGATTGAGTTTAGCAGCATTAGTCACTGGTGAAAAAGTCCTTTGGAGCTGCTGGCCCTGTTTTGTCCCATAGAAACACCTTCTGTTTTAATCAGCCAAGTAGGCAGTGTTGTGTGGGCATGAACGGGGCGGGGGGAGGAGGAGGAGTACACACCCTGTGCCATGTTGGAGCTGTAGCTGGGAGCAATGTAATGTCAGCTCTGGGCAGTGTAACTGCAGCACCTGATGGGATTTACCAGCGTGGGGTGGTTACCTGCCCAGTCGTGCCTGTGCACTGACAGGTCTCACTTGCAGAAAGGAAATTTTGCCGCTGTCTCCAGCACAGGGTGTTGCTATGCAGAAAAAATCTTTTTTCCTATTCAGTTGTAACTCCACTCTCCATTCCCTTCACCCCTCCCTTTCCCTGTGTTCTGCTTCTCCTGCAGCCACTCCAGGAGCTCAGAGAATTTGTCCTTGATGTTTTGAAGGCTGCAGACCAAACATCAAAAGGTAACGTGCATGTGGGGGCTGGCTGGCAGGCCTGGAGCGTGGGCAGGCTGGGGTGCCCTGCTGCTGCAGGCAAGGAAGCAGCATGGTTTACAGTCTGTCCCAGCACCCCGTGTCCCTGTTGACTTTGATGGAGACCGTGTTGTGAAAAACTGGAATCTTGGTCTCAAAAATGGGGCAAGATTCCTCTGCCAGGGCTGGGCACAGTCCCAACCTATCACACCTCCATAGCAAGATGCCCCCGCCTGTGTCCAGAGCTCAGCGGTGGTGTAATCCCTCACCAGCTGCTGCTCTCCGCCCTCTCTGCAACTGTGCTGCCCTTTTCCTCTTCTGTCAGGGGAAAAGGTTGAGCAGCCCATTCCTTGGGAGCCCACAACACCTTTCCCAAGCGAGAAGCTGCCCGAGATAGCGACTCCCTGCCTGACGGGGCGGTCCCTGGCCAGCCTGCCCATCTCAATCAAGTTGCAAGTTACATCTGCAACCAGGTAAGGCTGAGCTGCCTGCTCCTGGCAGCAACACCCTCTGCCTGTGCCAGCTCTCCTCTGCAGGTTTTACCTAAAGGCTTTTGTCCTCTCTGCAGAGGAAAGGAGTTGCTGGAAGGCCCGGAGCTGAAATTCCTGACGCCGGTACGGCGCTCACTGCGGATAGAGCAAGCTGGGAGCTACTACCCAGAGATGCTGAAGGACCATGACCCTGTGGTGTCATCCCTCAGTGAAATCCTGGATGTGGAGGAAGAGACTCAGTACTTCTTCCGGAAAAACAAGGCTTTGCCAGAGGTGGCGGAGCTGGAAGGTTTGAGTCTGTATCCCCCAGAGTGCTGCTGAGGGATTCCCAGCCAGGTGCAGGCTGCTTGCTCCCCTGTGCTGCCTTGCACGCACTCCACTGACTTCTCTTACTTCCTCTCAAGATGTAAATACGTAGGAGTGGCACATAATAAGCCTGTTTCAATTATATAAGCACTCTTTTAAATATATAAAAACCTGCAGTAGAGATGCAGTGTGGCCTAGTGAGTTGTGTGCAAGGTCTGGGGTTGGAGACGTGAGCTGTGTCCCCTGCAATTGCCCTTGGCTCCTCCACTGTGACACACACCCTGATTTTCCTGCTGTAGGATGATGTCAGTCACTCTGCAGTGCTCTAGGCACCTTCCAGTGTGTTGGAAGTGATGTTCCAAAGGGATTTGCTTCAGAGCTGCCTGGACAGCATCTAGATGTTCCCCAGAGAGGGATGCACAGACCCCACATCTTGAGTCACGTGTAAGCACCAGCTGTGCCAGCCCAGTGAGTGACTGGCAGGGCTGGGATACCTGTGGGACCACAGCAGCTTCTGCACAGGTCCTGAGGCTGAAGGCAGCACTCACAAGGGGTACAGGGGTCCTTGGGGTGCAGCAGCCCAGGCTCTCAGACCCCGGGCAAGGCTGGGGTTCCTGGATGGGAGAGTGGGCACAGCTGAGCCCTGTCAGTGTGCTCAGGGCCCCTACAGCAGCCTACTCTCCCTCAAGGGCTGTCCTCATACCCAGAGAAAGCATGGGGGCTGCTGGTGCCAGTTGCTGAGGGTTGGCATGACTTCCCTGCTGTGAGGAGTAAAGCAGTGTGGCTGCCATTAAGGGGTGGGCTTTGTCACTTTACACTCACAAGCAAGCAGCAGTCCTGTCCTGTCCTCTTACCAGCAGTCCTGTCCTGTCCTCTTCCCACCCTTCTGCCTTCTCCCGACACAGCCACCGCCAGCATTAGCTCAGCATCTTTATTGAGAAACCTCGATGCTGGAAGAAGTCTCACAGTAGTAGCTGGAAGTCCTGGCACAGGTCTGGCTCTGGTTGGGGAAGCACAGCAGGCTGGACCCCATCTCGAGTGCAGGACAGTGTTGGCAGGGGGAGGCCACCCTCTCCCAGGGGCTGCACTTGTCCAAGCTGCTGGCTGAGGATTTGGGAATTGCCCTTGCCCCCACCTCCCAAGCTCGAGGCAACGCACTTTTCCTTTAAAATAGCCAGTTTTATGTCCTGTGGTGCCAGAAGTTTGAGTATCTTATAAATAGAAAAGGGCAGAAAGCAGAAGAGGGTAATAGCTGGTAAAAGGGAGCCCTGGGGAGCAGCAGCTCCCCCAAGCCCTCCTGTTCTTGCGCAACACCCACCCACCCACCTCCAGCCAGAGCTGGGCCCCAGTGCTGCACTGGTGCCCAGGGCCAGGCCCGCAGCTGGAGGGGCAGGAGCTGCTGGGCCCACTGGCCAGTTTCCAGAAAGAGCTGGAGCAGTGGCAGTGCTGGGCAGCCCCAGGCTGGCATCAAGCTGGCTGGG